TACTTTTTTAAAAAAAATTTTTATTTATTATTTTTATTTTATGTGTATGTATGTATTGCCTGCATGTAGGTAAGTGCACCCATGTTGTGCAATGTGACAGAGCAAATAATGATTGCATCAGATTCCTACACTGTGAACCGATGAGTTTTTATTGGGGTTACTTACAGGAGCTTGGGTGAGGGGTTACTTACAGGGCCAGGGATGATGCAAAAGCAGCATCACCTAAAAACCCACCCCAACACAAGTACTGACTAAAGTTGCAACCCTGGGGTTTTGTGCACACCTTGCAAACACGTCAATAGTTGGAAACTCCTTTGGAACTAGGTTAGTAAGGGACTCCTTCCCCAGTATTTTTTTGGGGGGGGCTCTTTTTGAGACAGGGTCTCCCTGTAGCTCCAGCTGTTCTGGAACTCACTATGTAGACCAGGCTGGCCTTGAACTCACAGAGATCTGCCTGCCTCTGCTGGGATTAAAGGCATGCACCACCACACCCAGCCCCAAGTCATACTTTGAAAAGACACAGACCCTTGGAGATAGAGAGATAGCTCAGCAGAAGAGCACTAGCTGCCCTTGCAGAGGACTCAGGTTCAATTCCCAGCACCCACATGGTGGCTAACAGCCATCCCTAACTCCTGTTCCAGGTGAATCTGACACCCTCTTCTGACCTCTGGGGGCATTGCAGGACACAGATGTATTTTCATACATGCAGGCAATACACTCATACTCATAAAATAAAAATAATAAAATATTTTAAAAGACGCAGACCCTTGCAAGAGTTACTGAATGTATTTTGGGGAGACTAAAGTCCAGTCACCATCATGGACAAGTGCTAGAAATTTTAAACGGGGGGATCTGGATTACCTGTGTAACTTACGGAGAGCAAGAAAGGGATGGAGGGTTGGACGAGGGCATTAAGTATCTGTATTACCTGCTTCTCATTTTACTATCTAAATTATTATTGTTGTTATTATTATCATTATTATTTTGTTTTTATTGAGACAGGGTCTCCCTGTAGCCCCAGCTGGCCTGGAACTCACAGAGATCCACTTGCCTCTGCCTCCTGAGTGCTAGAGGCCTTAAAGGCATGTATCACCATGCCCGGTCGTTATTTTTGTAGATTGGCTGAATAGCTTGGTGATCCCCAGTTTGACCCTCTTGCTCCATAGATGAGACACTGGAGCTGCAGAGCAGTTTAGGGCTAAGCCTAAATGGTTCTGAGTCAAGTATTCCACATCACTAAGTCCCCTCCCCATCTCCCATCAGCCCCAGGAGACCAACAACACTTAGAGGTTGAGACAAAGCTGATGTGCCTAGCCAGCAGGCTTCTAAACTAGCTGTTCTCTGCTTTCCCTCCCAAGGCTCAAGTTCAAAAACCTTCTTTGGCCAAGAGATACTCTCTGGGCTTCAGGGGTAGAGTGAGTGAGTGAGTGAGTGACAGAGGGGAGGGAGGGAGGGAGGGAGGGAGAGAGAGAGAGAGAGAGAGAGAGAGAGAGAGAGAGAGAGAGTCAGAGTCCTGAAAGGCAATATCTTGCTTACCTCCCCTGGCTCTGGCCCACTGTGGGATGTTAAGGGATGCTGTCCCCAAGATTCTTATCAAGCTAGAGACACACACACAGTTTATCTCTCAGCTGCTGGAACTCTGGGATCCTCCTCTTCCTGGGGAGAGGTGTGGCCATGAGGAAAGCCTTCACTAGGTGGGACTCCTCTCTCCACAGCCCTGTCTGGAGGGCTACTCCCTCCTCAAGCTCTTTAGAGAAGGTTCTGAGAAGTGTTGTGCTCAGTCTGAGTCCATTGGGCAGCAGTAAAGATCTGTTGGTCTACTGTCACTATTCACAACACAACTACACAAAGTCCATTGTATTTTATAAAATAATTCAGAGGGCAGGTGAGATGGTTCAGCCAGTAAAGGCACTTGCTGCCAAGTCTGATGACCTGAATGTGATTCCTGGGACCCACCTGTAGAAGGAGAGAACCACCTCCCCAAGTTGTCCTCTGACCATCACATGTGTGTGGTGGCCCAACACACAACACACACACACACACACACACACACACACACACACACACACACACACACACACACACACACACACACACACACACACACACACACACACACACTAAAAATTATAAGAATAAATAAAAGAATTCAGGAAAGAAAGCCTGTTTTTCCCACTATAAGCCTTCTAGTCTCCAGGAAAAACAAAACTACTCTTGATTCCTTGGTCTTCTGTTTGCTTTTCTTCATTTACTTTTTTGAGACAGGGTCTCACTAGAAGACCTTCTAGTTCTGGCCTCCTGAGTGCTGGGGTGATGCACACTGCCACATCTGCTCTTTGGGTTTTTCTCAAGACTTGCCCTTCTTTTACGTCCCCTGGCCTCAGCAGGCATGCACCCAGAATAGTTAAGGCAGCCATCTATGCACATGTCAGGGGAGAAGAGGTGGCTCCCATAGGCATAGCCTGCCCTGGGCAGGTACAGTCTCCTGCCTGGCCCAACAGAGGACCTAAAGGTTAGGGACAGTTTTAGTAAGATCAGGCTAACCCTGAGACCTTTCCCCTATTCCCAAGTGTTCAGGGGACAGGGTGTGCTCTGATGGTGTATCTGTCTCCCTGACTTCTTCCTCTGCCTTTTGACCACTTCTCTATTACTTTTCTGCTTCTGCCCTCCACCCCCAACACTATCACTACTTCCTCCCATTCCAGAGTCTACCACTACAGGTTGGGGGAAACCCTTCTTAGGCACGAGCCCTACTATTTCTGCTTCACATCCACATGGCCCAGGACTCTCACTGTTACTTTGAAAGTGAATAGTTTCCTGTCAAGTAGGGGTGAAATTCACCATTAATCCAGTGTGACCAGATATGCTGCTGCAAGTGGGCTCAATTTAAGCTGTCAAGTACATAGTTCAAGTGTACAAACCTTCAGAGAGTCGTCCCTAGAAATATTCAGCCTGTGGAGGTCAGGGAATCAGGATGGGGCCAGTCAGAGTCTTAAGCTGGGAAGACCCCAGAAAATGGGAACTACTGGAGGGCTGCACCTGCCCTATACGAAATACACGGGTGCCTGGAGAGATCTCAGGGGTCACAGAGGTGGAACATAGTATCTTCAAAGCAAGAGCTGTGGTGGGAGGTGGGTGTAGGGCACAGAGTTTCTGCAGGATTGGTGTTTGGATGACCTAGTTTCCTTCCATGGACAGGACTCAAGGAGATGACAAGAACTACAGTCAAAGGGACTTGGGGCTGGAGAGAGACAGCTCAGTGGTTAAGAGCACAGGCTACTTTTTTTTTTTTTTTTTTTTTTGAGACAGGGTCTCCTTGTAGCCCCAGCTGGCCTGAAACTGACTATGTAGACCAGGCTGGCCTCGAACTCAGAGATCCCCATGGCTTTGTCTCCCAAGTGCTAGGATTAAAGGCATGTGACACCACACCTGGGCAAAGAACATAGGTTGCTCTTGCAGAGGACCCAGGTTCAATTCCCAGTACCCACATGGTGGCTAACAACTGTCCATAACTCCAGTTCCAGGGGATCTGATGACTTCCTTCTTCTGACCTCCATGGGCACTGCACAACATGGGTGCACTTACACACATGCAGACAATACATTCATACACATAAAATAAAAATAATAAATTTGTTTTCTAAAAAAGAGGGACTAAACCAGGTGTGAAGGTGCATGCCTTTAATTCCAGCACTCTGGAGGCAGAGGCAGGAGGATCTCTGTGAATTCAGGCCAGAAGGGGCTACAGGAAGACCCTGTCTCAAAAAGACCAAATAAACAAAAAATAAATTAATAAATAATTTTAAAAAGAGGGACTTAAATAGGATGAAAGGAAGACTGCCTCCCCAGGGGAACAAAGGTAGTAGTGGACTCTCCTTCTGGGGAAGTAAAACATCCTTCATCAGATGCTCACTAATCTGGCCAGCGGGTAGAGAGAACCAACAGTGAATCCAAGGTTCACAGGGTCCAACCTCAGCAGTGTGGGTGAGTTGGGATCAGGGGGCATACCTCCTTTGCTCCACTTTCCTTATTTTCCATCTAGGGTTTCTAGGGACCTTGGTCATTACCACTGGGGGCTGTGAATGGCCCCCTCTTTTGGTGGTGGTGGTGGGGAAACAGCCTAGCCTCATGTTGGCCCCACAGCTTCATGGGGGGCACTCAGTAAAATATTTACATGAGTGAATGAACCCCTTAGGCAGGAGCAGAGAACCGAGGCCCATGCTGCCCCATTCCCCCAGCACTCTGTGGTTTGAGCAGCCTAGACCCAAGCTTCTTGCCTTACCTAATGTGGGGAAGAAAACACCTAGGCAGGACCAGAAGAGGGAGAGAGAAACCCTTTGGCCCGCAGAACTGTCTAGGCCAGGTGATGGTTTTAGGACAATTAGGATGCCACTGATCAGGTTTTCCTGGGCTTGGTTTCCGTAGCTGCCTGAGGTCCCAAGGCCTAAGGCGTTTTCCAATCTGTTGTGCTCCTGTGCTGGTAGGTGGGGCAAGACGGTGAGCTCACCCATCCCCACCTGGCCCACCTTACTGGGTCAGCTGCCAGTTTGCTCTGCAAATGGGGGAGGCCTTTATGCCTCTCTCAGCTCCAAAGGAAGTGACTGGCAAGTACTAGCTAACTGTCTTTCTTCAAAGGCAGGAGGCAGCCACAGGGAGGAGCGAGGTACGTGCCCAAGCATGACATCGCGAGCTCACAAGAAGCCTGGAAAGGAGCCTGGCTCCTGGCTCTCAGAACCTCATGATGCCACCTCTACCATCCGGTCGGGGCTGGGTTCCGCTCAGTGGCTCTGGTCGCACTTGACTGGGGCCTCTGGGCAGCAGATGGCAGCATCCACTGAGCCATATGGGCCGGTTACCCCGTGCAAGTGCTGCACTCCAGGCCAGGGCCGATGGATGGCAAAGTGCCTACCATATAGCCGGGCTTCTGTGCCTGACTCTGGTCAGCTGGGACTGGTGTGGTGAGTCCATCAACCTCCCCTGTTCCCTGGGGACGCCCCTCACCTTGAGCTGGGATTTGGAGACCTTGCCACTCTTTTCCACGTCCAGTGCGGTGAAGGCGTACCAGATGGACTTGAGCAGCTCCTTGCGCAGGGCCATGGCTGAGGCGCCCGCCCCGGCCCATGGGCGGCTCTGACACCAAGATCCGGTTTCAGGAAATGCAAACGGCTGCAGACCGCAGAGAGGCCCTGGTGCAGAGCGAGAGCTCCACCTGCCTGCCTGCTCCCTCCGGCTTCCAGTGCTGACTAGGTAGTTGTTCTGGCTGCTGCTGCCCCAGGCCCGGCAGGGGACCAGGACTAAGTTTCCCAGAGCTGGAGCCCTCCTTTCCAAGGGCCTAGCTCCCTGGGCATGTGGAACCACTTTAGAAACCTCCTTGCCTCAGAACCTTCCCGGTGGCAGCTCAAGGAGAGAAAAATAAAGTCCACCTAGACTTTGGAGGTAGACAGATTGGGAGTCACACTTAGCAAGTGGGAGGGCTTGGATAACAGAGTTAATCCAGAGCAGTTTCCTCTTGGTAACATGCAAAGTACCCGCTTAACTGAGCTGTGTGGACATCTGAGCTGGGGAAGTAAAACACACAGCAGGCCTGGGGTAGATCTCTTTTAGGGCTGCCTAGCAGGACTTCAATGAGGGGCTCCACTCACACAGACAAGTGCCCAGCTGGAAGGGGAACTGACCCAGGAACGTCTCCAGGACAGGGGACCTAGGCTCCAAAGGGCACTTGGAGAGTGTGGTGGTACACACCTTTAATCCCAGCACTTGGAAGGTGGAGGCAGGCTGATCTCTGTGAGGTCAAGGCCAGTCTGGTCTATATGTGTTCTAGGCCAGCTAGGGCTAAGCACTTGGAACTCAGAACACTGCCCACTCTGTGCTGTGGCCTTGAGGACACCAAAGCCCAGATCTAAAGCACATAAGGTGACCTTCATAGTGGGGTCACCTGAGAGGTCCTGGCACAGGCCAGGATTGGGCCCTCCACATGAGTGTTTCCACTCCTCTATATCTAATGCCCGTGAGGCTTCAGCCTGTTGAGGCTAATTCTCAATTCTCGGACCCTGCTCCTTGGGAGCATGTTCCAGCCCCTCTGCTTCCACAGTGCTAGTGTTAAGAGTAAATGGGAACCGGGTGTGGAGACACACACCTGTTAACCCAGCACCTGGGAAGCTGAAACTCAAGAATGAGTCTGAGGCCAGCCCAGGCTATGAGGCTTGATTCTGCCTTAAAAACAAGCAAGCAACATCCTACCCCCAACAAACCACCAGGAAACGGGAGCTTTCTAAGCTCTCAAGGCATCCTAAGGGAGGATACCTGGTTAGGACACTTGGCACTTAGTTTGCTGGCTCCCCATGCTCTGGGCACTGGCTCTTCTTGGTAGCAGGAGGGGGCTGGGGGCACATGCATCACAGCATTGCAGTGGAGAGAACAGGAGAGGCGGCCACAATCCCTGCAATGTTCCCACCCTGGTGGCGTCAACCCTACAGCTCATCTCCAGGAGCTGTCTTCCTGCATCCCTCCCTGTTGGGACTGCTCTGGTCTTACCACTCACTCTTTAGTGGGGTCACTCTATGGCTTTGGAAACCCACAGCATAGGCCCAGATGCTTGGCATCCCCAGCTGGGTAATGGAGCTAGGATGTGAGCACCAGAGCAGTGAGGCATCAGAATCTGAGCAACCTTGGCCAAGGTAGCCGTCAGCTGCTCTCACCTCGGGCTTTGTGTGTGGTGGGGTGCTTGGGGATGGAGGGGCTCAAGGCTACAGTCCATAAAGCAAGGCGGGGAACCCAGAGTTCTTTTGAAGCCTGCAGAATTTCAGCCACAGCGGGAGCAATGATAATTCTGGTCCTGTTGGGCTCAGATGTGGGCAGGAAGCCACCAGGCAGCTCCTTAGGACTCATCTTTCACTGGCCCTTCCTCCCATCTGGGCCCAGAGAGACCAGCCTACCAGGCAGGTGTCAAGGTTGGGTAGAGTTGTGCTAGGGAAACAGGGCTGGGGCCGCCCTGCCACCAAGGCCCAGCACTGAAAGGACAAGAGGAGCCTAGGTGGAAACTTGGAACTTTTATTAAATACTCATTCACCCGTTTGCCACCACCACCCAGAGCAGGAAAGAATAATTATCAAAATAGAATTAAAAAAACCAAACCACAAACAAACCCAATCCCCAGCAATCTAGGTGCAGGCCCCTCTCTGCCACAGAGTGGGGAGCTGCTGGGGGTGGTGGGATGGGCACCTTTTACTCCAGCCACAGGCCCCTGAGGAATTAATTCTGACTGTGGTGGCAGGAAGTCCCTTATGCCAAGTGGCCAGGCATCCTGGCTACCCCCAGGAGGTGGTTATTGCTGGGAGGGGCTGGGCTGAAGAGCTCGCTGCCTTTCCCCTGGCAGTATGACCAGTCAGGATGGAGGCCAGTCCTCGTCCACCTAGTCCTCATCTCCCTGAGAAAGGGAGTGGACGGAAGTGGGGAGAGTATTCTCCCAAGGGAGGAAAGCAGGTGTCCAAGGCGGCCCAGTGACTAGGCTGGTCCTCTTCAGCTCACTGCCCACTGCCTGGCCCTCATCTGGGCATGGCCCACAGCCCCTCCAGTCAGGCTGTTTTCCTGCCGTCTTCTCACCCTTGTGTCAGTCACAGCCGGGGGCCCCTGGAAGCAGGGCTGCCTGTGAGCAGGGCACCTCCTCCAGCACGGTGTGGGAGCCAGCCCTCCTGGGCTCAGCAGCCGCTCTCTGATACTGTGGTCTCCAGGGTCACGGCCCCCTGCTGCATGGCAGCAGTGGCCACACTGATGGCCTCCTCCAAGGTCTGCTGCTCCTCGAGCTGTGAAGAGGTACAGGAAAGTGAGACACCCCTTTCCCCAGATCCTAGCTTTAGAGTAGTATTATGGTCTACCTGCTCTTTCTTACTAGGGTGCTAATGAACAGGAAGTTCCCTGATAAGGAGTCCCATTAGGCTAGATCCAGCTGGGGATCACAGGCTGGCTCAGGGTCAGAGAGACCAGCATGCTCACAGAAGAGCAGCCGGCTAGATGTGGACCTTAGGGGTAATCTACTTTAGCCTCCTCACCTCCCAGGTGAAGAAAAAGACTCAAGGAGAGAGAGGGCTTGAACTACTACAGATGGACTGCCATCAGTTTCCCCAAAGGCAAGAAGGGACTTCCCGATTCTGCCTCAGCCAGCCATGCAGAGGACTCAGCTAGGAATGGCTCTTCTCCCCCATTCCCCTTCTCGGTCTGGAATCTCTTCAAACCATACTGTGCCCACCTGCACCGCGATGTGCGTTCCGTTGGCTGTGGCCAACAGTGCCACCTGTTGGTGATGAAGAGATGCTACACTGGCATCTTCGGCCACCAAGGCCCCAGAGGTAATGATTGTGACCTGAAACCACAGAAGCAGGAAGACCTACCTTCCACCTACTCACACCTTCCGGCCCCTCTTCACCCCACCCAGAAGGGAATGGATAAAGCCATTACAGGTCAGATAATTAGCTAGGGCTCAGAGCTAAATGAGGTGGGATTTTTCTTCAGTTTAGGATTTAGTGGTGGTGCTGCTGCTGGGGTTTGAACCTAGGGTTTTGTTCACACTAAGACAAGTACTCTACCAAGAGGTACATCCCCAGTCCTTTTCATGTTTTGAGAAATATTATTTTTATGTGCATGTGTGTATTGCCTCCATGTATGTAAGTGCACACATGTTGTACAATGCCTCCTGAGGAGGTCAGAAGAGGGTGTCAGATCCCCTGGAACTGGAGTTACAGACAGTTGATAGCCACAATGTGGGTGCTAGGATTTGAATCCTGGTCCTCTACAAGAGCAGCCTGTGCTCTTAATTGCTGATTCTTCCCTTTAATCTCAGCACTGCCCCCCTCCTTTTTTTGACACAGAGTCTCACTAAATTGCACAGGTCAGCAACTGGTTCAGCCTCCTGAGTAGCTGAGATTATGGGTGTGGGCATAGAAACTGTCCAGAGACAGTTTCTATTAAAGGCTTTGAAAGATTATGGTTGAGGGGAGACATTTGAAATTTTTTTTTTGTCTTTTTGAGACAGGGTTTCCCTGTAGCCCCAGCTGTCCTGGAACTCACTATGTAGACCAGGCCAGCCTTGAACTCACAGAGATCCACCTTCCTCTGACTCTCGAGTGCTGGGATTAAAGGCGTGCACTACCATGCCCAGGACCTCACACATGCCAGGTAGGTACACCATCACAGAGCAGCCCCCCATCTCCCCTTTTTTGTCTGTTATTTGTTCTTTGTTTTTGAGACAAGGTCTCGCTGTGTAGCCTGGCTGACCTGGAATTCTCTATGTAGACCAGGCTGGCCTTGAACTCACAGAGATCCATCTACTTCTGCCTCCTGAGTGCTGGGATTAAAGGCGTGCGCCACCAAGCCCAGCCCAATTCTCCTAGTTCTTTTTTTATTTTTTAGTTTGAGACAAGGTCTCACTAAGTTGTCCAGGCTGACTGTAAGTTTGCAATCTTCCTGCCTCAGCCTCTCAAGTAGCTAGAATCACAGGCCTGTACTACCAGGTCTGATAAGAGGAGAACTTTATGATAAAGCATCATGAAAAGGCTTCATTAGTTTGGCCTGCACGGTGATGCCCAGCCCATGGAAAGGACAAGAGAACAGCAAACTGCCTGGTCATACGGGCTGAGTCTGAGTGCCATCGGCGCTGACCATGGTGACCGTGTGTGTGCCAGATGTGGCCAGGTCGTCTTGATGACTGGGGATGGTGAGGGTGCTGCCGTGCTGGGTCACCACACTGATGGCACTCCCCAGGGCCTGTAGGTCTTCCGGGGATAGGTTGACCTGTTGGCAGGAGAGAGATGAGATGGTATGCCAGAGAAGGTTGTCAGAACGCATCACCGGGAGGTGCATCTACTGCCTCAGACTTGCTTAGCTTATGGTAAGTTAGGTCAGCTTCAGGTCACAGGGGTGAGAGGTAGGGGACAGACACACAAAGGGGCCAGGGCTGTAGAGAGAAGTGCTTGCAGCATCCCACCGACACTCCTACTCCTACTGCTCTGGTTTCTGACCGTGCAGCATGCAGGTTGGGTCCTTAACTTGTGGACTAGGAAGGGGTGGACTAGACAGTCAGGGTGTGGCCAAGGCATAGATACTCTGCTGGCCAGCAGCACTGGTGGGCTTGTGGCTTCTAGCACCTTGCACTGCCATGCTCCTAATTCTGAGGAGCTCCAGAGCTGGGACAGAGGAGGCACCGAAGGGGCAGGGGCTGGGTGACACACTGGTCCCTTCAGTGTTTGAGGTGCAGAGAGGTAAAACAGAAGCTGGGGTAGAGGTGAGGCCGAGAACTTCAGGGCTCCCCAGAATCCCCAGAGTGGAGGGGCTAGTCGGTCCTGCCCCACCCATCTCCAGGGCCTCTACCTGCTGGGCACCATCCTGAGTGATCAGAGCCACCTGGGGAGTCCCATCCTCCTCGGTCACCATGGCCACTTGGGTTGGGATGTCATCGCCCTCTTCCTTCACCTCCGAAAGGTAAGCAATGCGGGTTCGTTTGGGTGGTGGGCTTTCCTCAGCGGCAGAGGCAGCTAGGAGAGGAGAGCCCAGGCTGCTACTTGCTCTGGTGCCAGGGGAGCCCCACAGGCCCCACATCCCTGCTGCCCGATCCCTCACCCTCTAGCTGTTGCTGTTCATACAGGGCCTGCTCGCTCTCCTCAGTGGCCTCCAGCTCGCCGTGCGCACTGCGCTTATGCATGGCCAGGGTGGAGGTCTGTCGGTAGGTCTTGCCGCAGCTGCTGCACGTGTAGGGCTTGCAATGCGTGTGCACCACGTGGTGTTTGTACAGGCTGGAGTACTCAGTGAAGCGCTTCCCACAGCCTGGCACCGTGCAAACATATGGCTTCTCCCCTGGGGACACTGGGCTGTGAGGGGGGTGGGACTGGGGCTGGCAAGGGGGAAGCTAAGGGGGTGGGGAGCAGGGTCACAAAGGGAGAGCCGGAGGGAGGGAGCTGAGAACTGAGACTGAGTGGGCCTGGTTGGGGAGAAGGCCAGTGGAGGACAGGAAAACAAGAGAGCGGGACCTCTGTGTCCAGAGACAAGACAGAGCAGGGTTAGAGAAGGGGTGAGAGGCAGGGGCTGCAGTGCTGGCTTGGGGGCTGAGACAGAGAATGAAGTGTCAGGATGGGAGGGATGGGACACATGGTGAGAGATGAAGGAAGGCTGGACAAGCCCTGTGACACTGGAAAGGTGAGGATATGAGTCGAATGCACAGTGGGTGCTGACGGAGATGAAGGTGACATGTAACTCTGCTTTTTCTGGACCATTCCTGACCCTGGCCTCCTTCAGGAACTCAGCAGATGGAAGAATTCAGGGGTATAGAAGTGCCCAGGAGCTCCAGAGGGTGGCAACCCCTGTCAGACTAGACCCAACTGCAAATGGAGGACGTGCTCACTGTGGGTGTGACAGTGGTCTGGGGATACCTACCCACCCCTGGCCCAGCCTGGAGTGGCTGGCAGAGAAGGGCTGAAGTTGAGAAGTGTCCCAGACGGGAAGCCTACACAAGAGGGATGGGGCTCACATGCCAGCTGGCCCACCTGTGTGGATGCGCACGTGATTCTTGTAGTTGGTGGCGCTGGTGAAGCCTCGGCCACAGTGAGGCTCGGGGCAGGTGTAGGGCCGCTCTCCTGTATGGGTGCGCACATGCACCTTGCGGATATTCGATGTGGTGAAGGAGCGGCCACAGCCCTCGAAAGGGCACCGGAAGGGGCGTTCACCTGTGTAGATGGGGTACGAGGGGTGGCTCAGGAAGGGGGGTCAGGTAGAGCAAGAAGGAGTGGCTCTGTGCTTGGGTCTGTTTGAAAGGCCAAGTGATTCCCCCATCCCCCATAAGTGTCTACCTGTGTGGGTCCGGACATGCTTCTGCAGGTCTCCTGAGGTCTTGAAGGCCTTGCTGCACAACTCCTCGGGGCACTTGTATGGTTTTTCACCAGTGTGGGTACGAACGTGGCTCTTCAGCCCGTAGCCTGTCAACATGCAGTGCAGTGTAAGAGCAGCCAGTGGGACCTGATCCCTGACTGCCTGCCTCATTTGGAGGCTATCTTGGGCTATGCTCTGGAAGGCTGCAAAGGCTAGACCAGTATCTATTCCACCATGCCCAAGCAGGTGAGAGAAGCTGAAGAGCCCACTGTTTTTTTAGAAACCCAGGAAGGGCATGGCCCCCAGCAGTCCACAGCTGATGGCTGCCAGAGCTGGTACAAGAAGCAGGCTTCTCCTCTGCCAGTCCAACACTCTCTAGGTTCTCACTAGGTGTAGGGTTTTCTTGAGCGCATACCCCATGGCAATTTCTTTGGGACAGCAGCCTGTACTCAGCCACCTTCAGAAAGGTCCCAAAGTGGATCTAGAACCCTTTTTTAAAATTTTTTATTTTTTGGTCTTTTTGAGACAGGGTCTCCCTGTAGCCCCAGCTGGCCTGGAACTCACTAAGTAGACCAGGCTGGCCTTGAACTCAGAGATCTGCCTGCCTCTGTGCTGTGATTAAAGGCGTGCGCCACCCGCCACCTGGGCTGGGGCTGGCTGGATCGAGAGCCCTTCCCTCAGGTCCTGTCTCCATCCAGGTAGTTTACCTGTGGCAAAGGCCTTTCCGCAGCTGGGGAAGTCACACCGGTATGGACGGTCACCCGTGTGAGCTCGTTCATGTACCTGTGAGGAAAAGCAAACCTGCAACTCAGAGGTGTGAGGGTCTCTCCCTCCTCTCGTGGGTCGTTGGCCACCAGTCCATGAGGACAAAGGGAGCAGAAGCGATGAACAGGGTCAGGATGGCCAGTGAGCACTGACAGAAGAAAGCCCTTCCGGGGAGGCAGATTCAGTGATACAGCTCCATTTATTCAGTGGCAGCTCCAGATTCAGTGATACAACTCCGTTTATTCAGTGCGGGTCAGGGAAAATATAGTGTGGACGCAGTAGCCAAAGCTTCATCAGATAAGCACTCATAGTATGCTTTATTTACATGCAGTAGTGGGATCCTATCATCTGGCTATAGGGCAATGCCTAATTATCATATAGAAAAAAACCTGGGGGCAGTGGTCAGGCATCTGTGCTTGGAGGCACTTTCCCTGTAAGTCAGGCAGGAAGCCCCTGCTGAGAAAGGAGCTGACCTTAACAGCAGGGTTCCCCAACACAGAGGGACAAGAGCTTTTTAGCTCTTTTCAGGGTCCTGAGTCTCTTCCCTCCAGCACATTCTGTGTGTCCTGGGCTCCTTTGCAGACACCCTTGCACACAGGTCTCTTCCCTCCAGCAGGTAATCTGCAACTTGAGGGCAGTGCCAGTCCAGTGATAGTAGAAAGGCAGACCTGTAGCTTGGCAAGGAAGAGGGCAGAGCTGAAAGCTGCCCACCAGGCCCTTACCTTTAAGTGATGGGCGGTGGTGTAGAGACGTCCACAGCCCTTGTAGCCACAGCGGAAAGCTCTGTCTCCAACTTGCTGTCCTTTGCCATTATGGGGAGCCTGGCTGTCATGCAGAACCTGTGGGAAAAATATCTCAGGGTTCCTATATGTACTCTCTCCACTGAGGGGAGGGACCTCAGTTGGCAACCTAATACTCGATAAACAGAGTTAAGACTGTCTGGGATCTCTGGGGCAGAGGCAGAACCAGACAGATAGGGATGGACACGCAGACATGATATATGAGAAACAGGGCTGGCATGTGGAGTCGCTGTGCATGTCTGACGGGTCAAGGGAGGACTAAATGTCAAGAGACCGTGGCGGCTACTCAAGAAAGTCTCTCCTAGACAGCTGAGGATGCGGGAAGGAACACATGTGAGCTAGGCTGAGGGTCAGAAGCCCCATTGACCGCAACACCTGGGGCTGGGGCTGATGGGAGAAGACTCTTCTTCCCAGTAAGAGACCTGTTAAGAGGGAGCATGTGCAGTATTCCGGCGTTGGGGCTGCGATCACTTGGGTTCCCTTGGAAAGACAAGGGGCCAAGAGTAAGGTGGCCCCAACCAGAAATGCCCCAAGGGTGCTGCAGAAGTCTCAGCTCTCAGGCTGGTGGCATGGCTCCGTGCACAAAAGCAACTGCCACCCAAATCTGACCACCTGAGTTCAATCCCTGGAGCCTATGGTTGAAGGAGAGCCTGGAGCCTATGTTTGTTTTATTTTTGAGACAGGGTTTCCCTGTAGCCCCAGCCTGGAACTCACTATGTAGACCAGGCTGACCTCAATCTTACAGAGATCCACCTGTCTCTGCCCTCCCCGTAGTGTGCATTATGCCTGGCAAAAGTTGTCTTCTGATCTCCACACGTGGTGAAGCATGTGCACCCACACTCACATTTCATATACACACAATGATAATAAAGTATTTTTAAAAATTTTTTAAAAATTATTTTTATTTTATGTGTATGCGTGTTTTGCCTGCATGTAGGTAAGTGCACCCATGTCGTGTAATGCCCGCGGAGGACAAAAGAAACTGTCAGATCCCCTGGAACTGGAGTTACAGACAGTTGTTAGCTGCCATGTGGGTGCTGGGACTCAAACCTGGGTCTTACGCAAGAACAACCAGTGTTCTTAACCCCTGAGCCATCTCTCCAGCCTCGATAATAAAGTATTTTTAAAAAAGAAGTCACCAGGCATGGTGGCGCATGCCTTTAATCCCAGCACTAGGGAGGCAGAGGCAGGCAGATCTCTGTGAGTTCAAGGCCAGCCTGGTCTACATAGTGAGTTCCAGGACAGCTGTGGCTACAGGGAGACCCTATCTCAAAAAGACCAAAAAAAAAAAAAATAAATAAATAAATAAACAAATTGTAATAAGTAAAAAAATTTTTTTTAATGACAGAAAGGGGCTAGGGAGATTACTCAGGGTAAAGTGCTTAATGTGTAACCATGAGGACCTGGGTTCAGATCCGCAACCTGTGCGATGCTCTTCTGCTCGCTTAGGCAGGGTCCTGGGGGACTGTCCCTTGGGAAGTCTTTCTGGGATGCTGTGGGATCACACTAGTCTTTCCAGGACTTTCTGAAACAGCTCTGGAAGTCATGGTAAGTAGGAATCTATGAGTTCTGCCTGGGCAGCTCCGTGGTCAGGGGTCAAGCAGGTGGCATTTTCAAGGACACTGGTGGTGGAGAGTGAGGGCCATGGTGGGCAGACTACCCTCACACACACTCAGATTTCATTTTGGTATCTCATCAGTTCCCAGGGTAGTTGAGGGCATCTGGTCATCAGGCCCAGAAGTGACCACCGAAACCTTCTGGTCCCATCACAGAGCACTCAGCTCAGGCCAGGCAGGGCAGTGAGTGACTCACCCAAGGTTGGACTATGGAGTGACAGAGCCAGCATAGACCTCAGGGCTCAAGATTTTAAAAAGCTCAGGTCTCTTTCTTTGTCCATTTGGTCTTTACCATTCCTCAGGGAACAGTGGCTGGGATGGGTCATGGCCCAAGGAAGCCTTCAGTCAAGTTTTATGCTTCTTTTTGAAAGAGACAGGGCCATTTCCTCTTTCCTTCTACCACACAGCTACTCTCTGTTTATAGGGCCAACTCCTCCCCAGCCTTTGAGGAAGCCAGTGCTTAGAAGCTCTGCCCCATCCACCCTGAGGCTCTGCAGTCCAACCTGGGGTGGGGGCACTCCCATGTGCAAACTCATAGGTCTGACCCTGTCCCCAGAGGCCCTGGGAGAGCCACAGCCCTTCTCTTCAGCCCCGTGTTCCAAGAATCCCAGCTGCTCTGGTGCATGTGTCCTGGTCACTGCCTACTGGCGTGTGTGTCCTGGTCACTGCTTACTGGTGTGTGTGTCCTGGTCACTGCCTACTGGCGTGTGTGTCTTGGTCACTGCCTACTGGTGTGTGTGTCCTGGTCACTGCCTACTGGGCTTATTTTCCCAAAAGTCTAAATGAGTCTCAGAGAAGCAATAAATATAATAGCATCTCACTTCAGTGGAGGAGAACTAATAAAAGACACGGCAGGGCTTTCCCAAAGAGCAGAGGATTATCACAGTAGCCAGAGTGAGGTTGGGCCTGACTTCCAACTAGGAGGTCACTGTTCCTCAGACAGCATAAACAACAGTAAGTGCCAACAGCTGTCAGGGGCCCCAGTGGGCTGTGATGCATGTCCTGCAAAAAGACATGTGAGAGTGTTCAGGGAGCTGAGGAGCTGACAGAGGGGCAGAGGGAGCTGAGGGGCTGAGGGACAGAGGGACAGAGGGAGCTGAGGGACAGAGGAAGCTGAGAGGCTGATGGACAGAGAGACAGAGGGAGCTGAGAGGCTGACGGACAGAGGGACAGAGGGAGCTGAGGGGCTGAGGGACAGAGGGAGCTGAGGGACAGAGGGAGCTGAGGGGCTGAGGGACAGAGGGACAGAGGGAGCTGAGGAGCTCAGGGGCTGAGGGACAGGGGCTGAGGCAGTAGTAGTAGCCTAGGTTGTACCCAAGCACAGGCTGCCACTGTCCTCTAGAGAGGTGAAGTTGTGTTTTGTTTTGTTTTAGTTGTTTGAGACAGGGTGTCATGTAGCCCAGGCTGGCTTCAAACTCCAGATCCTCCTGTCTCTACCTGCCAGTTACTGGGACTATAGGCATTTACAGCCATGCCTGGCCAGAGGTAAAGTTCTGGGAGGGCCAAGGTGAGACCCTACTTTCCCAGGTGATGGCTGCAGCGCTGGTGTGCTCACCTTGCTCGCATACTGCTCCAGGGCCACCACAGTGTCTGCAGTGAAGCCCTCCTCGTCCTCTGCTGCCAGGTCCTCCAAGCCCACCTCCGTCTGCACGGCCAGGATGGTGCTGTCCGAGGGCACAGCCACAGGATGGTGAATGTAGGCAGTGGAGCCGTCTTCCAGCTGGACAGCTTCCAGGGAGCTGGGGTCATAGCCCTCTGCAGGGAACATGAGGTAAGCCTGATGCCATGCAGGGGAGGAGGTCAGGCTGGGACCCTGGCTTTCAGCTAGGGAGTGGTGAGCACAGCAAGGAGGATTCAGCATGGACTCTCTCCACGCTCCTCACTGTGGGCTTTCTTCTCACAGGAACAAGATCTCCAATGGTTCACTGACTGGGACTCAGTAGCTCCTTGAGGAACTGAGAGGAGCGACATTGGCATCTTGACCTAGATGACCCCAAGGCTTCCTGCCCAGGTGCCCCTTGCCCGGTCTACTTCCTCCTAACAGCATAGCACCCAGAGGGAGTTTTGCAGACATAAAATCATCCTGCCACCTAAATGCTTAAACAGACCAAATGGTCTTAGGACAAAGACCAACACTTGTTCTGACAAGCCCTGAGTACTCTGGCTGCCTCCCTCCGGCTTCCTCCCACTCCTGCCCTGCTTCACAGCCTTCTAGTTCCCCTGTCTAGGCCCTTGAATGTGTCTTTCTTCCTAATGCGCCCCCATGTCTGAATAGGTGGGTCTCATCTGGAGTACTGAGCCCACCTGCCGTTCCTTTTCCCCTGGCTCCAGCTCCCTAGGCTGTGGGTTGTGACCACACATGGCATTGGATAGCTGAATGTGGGGTCATTAAAAGTTGGAAAATAGTAAAACAATTCTGAATGGGCAATGGCCAAAAATTAATTCAAAATCAAATGTGTAAAGAATTCGTGGTGTTGCTGGGAGTGCTCCCCAGTGGTGTACTGCAGGATCTCCCTACAGCCTCCGTTCTGAGCACAACATGCACTTGGTGTTCCACATGCTGTCAGGCCACACAACAGACACCAACGCTGTCTGACACACCTTAGCTTAGATTCAAGACAACCATGTTATCGTTTGCAGACTGCTCACACAGTTTTCTGCTCTTACAGAAACATAGTGGTTTATTTACAAAAATAAAGGCAGTGTTTTCCTACTGCCTTTCCTTAATGTGTAAGTACCAAATTACTATCTCTTTGGATTATAGTATTATAGGTTTGATTTTTTTATTTTATTTTATTTTTTTGGTCTTTTTGAGACAGGGTCTCCCTGCAGCCCCAGCTGTTCTGGAACTCACTATGTAGACCAGGCTGGCCTTGAACTCACAGAGCTCTGCCTGCCTCTGCCTCCCAAGTGCTGGGATTAAAGGTGTGTGCCACCACACCCAGCTGATTTTTTTTAAAAAATTGCTGTCTCAAAAAACAAAAACAAAACAAAATAAATGAAGTTGATCTACATCCGCATCATCATGTTGTAGCCCAAATGTTCAGGCAAGATTTAATTCTTCATGTAAAAATAAACAAGCACAGCTTGCTGTGGTGGTGCACGCTTTTAATCGGCAGGGGCAGGGGCAGGGGCAGGGGCAGAGGCAGAGGCAGAGAGGCAGAGAGGCAGAGAGGGAGAGGCAGAGGCAGAGAGGCAGAGAGGCAGAGAGGGAGAGGCAGAGGGGCAGAGGCAGAGAGGCAGAGAGGCAGAGAGGCAGAGAGGCAGAGAGGCAGAGAGGCAGAGAGGCAGAGAGGCAGAGAGGCAGAGAGGCAGAGAGGCAGAGAGGCAGAGAGGCAGAGAGGCAGAGAGGCAGAGAGGCAGAGAGGCAGAGAGGCAGAGAGGCAGAGAGGCAGAGAGGCAGAAGCTTGCTGTGGTGGTGCACGCTTTTAATCGGCAGGGGCAGGGGCAGGGGCAGGGGCAGGGGCAGAGGCAGAGGCAGGCAGATCTCTGTGGGTTCGAGGCCAGTCTGGTCTATGTAGCAAGTTCCAGGCCAGCTGGGGGTTACAGGGAGACCCTATCTCAAAAAGACCAAAAAAGAAAAAGAAAAGAAAATAAACAAGAAAAAAAAACAAGCATAAAAATCTGAGTATGCAAATTTGCTTTGTCTTTAAAAAATGGTAAAATTAGATGTATATCAAAGAATTGGTTTTTTTGTTGTTTTTTTGTTTTGTTTTGTTTGGTCTTTTTGAGACAGGGTCTCCCTGTAGCCCCAGCTGTCCTGGAACTCACTATGTAGCCCAGGCTGGCCTTGAACTCACAGAGATCCGCCTGCCTCTACTTCCTGAGTGCTAGGATTAAAGGCGTGAGCCATCATGCCGGCAGAATTGTTATTTTTTTAAAAATCAATTTAGTTTTTAATTGCATTTTTTACAATTTTCATACAATATAGTTTGATAGCATTTAGATCTCCTTTCCTATTTGTACCTCCCCTCAAATAATTGTTTATTTTCATTTTTTATTTTTTGGTCTTTTTGAGACAGGGTCTCCCTGTAGCCCCAGCTGTCCTGGAACTCACTTTGTAGACCAGGCTGGCCTTGAACTCACAGAGCTCTGCCTGCCTCTGCTGCACCACTACTCCCAGCTAAATTATTTTTTTAAAGATTTTTATTTATTTATGTATGTGTATGTATTTTTATGTATTTATGTATTTATTTGTATTTATATGTATTTATTTGTATTTGTATTTATTTTTAAATTTGTATTTTTAAATTTATTTTTAAATTTGTATTTATATGTCTGATGTGGGTACAGGGAACTGAACTCAGGTCCTTTGCAAGAGCAACAAGTGCTCTTAATCGTTGAGCTTAAAATTGTTTTAAAATAATTTTATGATTCATTATCAGCAACTGCTTCTCTGTATGCCAATTTTATATTCCTATCTATCTCGAGTCACGTACAAATGTCTTGTGCAAAGAGGAGTCACAGGTGGGGAAAGTTTAGAAGCCCCTGATAAGTCTACCTGTCCTTCCTCAGAGAGGCCTTGCCTGAGTCTCCACAGGGTGCAGCCACCAGTTCACCTCGCGCTCTGCGTATCTCGAGTCACGTACAAATGTCTTGTGCAAAGAGGAGTCACAAGTGGGGAAAGTTTAGAAGCCCATGCCCAGTCTACCTGTCCTTCCTCAGAGAAGCCTTGCCTGAGTCTCCACAGGGTGCAGCCACCAGTTCACCTCGCGCTCTGCTTTGGTAGACAGGGCGGACAGATTGTGTCTGACATTGCTCTGCTCTGCGTGCTCCACTGCCAGCGTGGTGACTTGCGTGTAGCTGCCCACAGACGTCTGGACTAAGTGACTATTCTTCAGTACGTTAGGAGCTTTTATTCGTTTCTTCTTTTGGTCTTTTGGGTCAGCATCTCATTCTGTAGCCCTGGCTGGTCTAGAATCACACTAAGTAACCCAGACTACCCTTGAGCAATCCTGCCTTATCCTTCCGAGCAATGGGAACCGTATGTTTGAGCTATCACGCCTACCTAGAAACTTCCTTCTTAAAGATCTTAAGAGCTTGCAGTCTTTTTCCTGGTTTGCAATGCCCTCAGGTTCAATTTAAAGGCCTAAGTCTTTGTGGTTGGTCTGGTGCCAAAGCCACCACCAAGGCCTATCCTGACTCCCAAGACCATTCTCCAGGCAAGTATGTATGTGCCCTGGGGATGATAGTGCCTGTGCTAGTGTCTGTCCCCCCAGTCCTTGCCGGTC